AGCACCACAAACTCTCAAGGTAACTGGTTCCACTGCCATACTGCTCTAACAGTTAGGAAGTTTTTCCTGATATTCAACCAAAATCTGGCTTCCAGTAACTTGAGTCCATTGTTGCATATCCTGAACTCTGGGATGACACAGAACAGATCTTGCCCCTGCTCTGCATGACAGCTTTTCAAATATTTGAAAAGTACTATCATATTTCTCAGTCTTCTTTTCTCAAGGCTAAACTTAAGAGCAAACTTAAAACCTGGCTCTTTAGGCAGGCTTTCCCTCCTGTCATCACCTAATGACCTTGCCATTTCGAATTAGTCACTGTTGTTTTTATTTTATATTACTTTTATGTCTTATTTTTAGCTGCCCAGAATAGACTTCAGTCTAGACAGGCAGGGTATAAATCAAATAAACAAATAAACATGCCCAATTCTTTCAGCCTTTCCTCATAAGGCTTGGTTTCCAGCCCCCTGATCATCCTTGTCACCCTCCTCTGAACTTGTTCCAATTTGTTAGCCTCCTTCTTGAAGTGTGGTGTCCAGAACTGGACGCATTACTCAAGGTGAGGCCTAACCAAGGGGGACTAATACCTCACAAGAATTGGAAACTATACTACATGCAGTCTAAAATAGCATTTGCCATTTTTTTAGCCACATCATACTGTTGGCTGATATTTAGCTTGTGATCTGCAACAATTCCAACATCCTTCTCGCTCGTCGTTTTGCTGAGCCAGGTATCCCCCCATCTTGTAACTGTGCAGTACTTTGAACTTATCCCTGGTGAATTTCATTCTGTTGCTTTCAGCCCAGTATTCCATCCTATCAAGGTCATTTTGAATTTTGTTTCTGTCTTCTAGGGCTATTCCGCCTAATTTTGTACTGTCTGCAAATTTGACAAGCATTCCCTGCACAGCCTCATCCAAATCATTAATAAAAATATTGAAGAGCACCTGACTGAGCCTTGGGGTACCCCACTTTTACCTCCTCCCACTTAGAGAAGGACCCATTAATCATCACTGTCTGAGTACGATTCTGTAGCCAATTGTGTATCCACCTGACACTTGATCTATCCCAGTTGTCGGGGAACAAAGATAAATTACCCCAAATGGGATAAAAGTGAAAATCCTAGGGATAATGAGCAGAGTGCTACCCCCTCCCTCCCATCCCCAACCCTCTGCAGCCAAACCTCAAATTGTAAGCCACCTCTCCCTGTTACTTCCTTGGTTGCAGCAGGTCAGTTGTAAATCCTCAGTTCTTTCAGAGATCGGAGATCGGCCTGCTTCATTGGTTACAGCTGTGAAATAGCTCCAGGCAATCAATCCGGGGCTTCTGAATGACTGCTTCTGCCGGAGATGACTATAAGCAAGCTGGAGGAGGGAACGGATCAAGTTAATGAGGGAATGAGGGAAGGAATATGCGAGAGACCAAGGGCTTCATCAAGCTTTTTTAAATGTATGTAAAAATGGATGGAGACGATGGAGAGAGGGAGG